GCCTGCCTGTCTGACCCCCGCACCCAACCCTAGGGCCCACCCCGCATCCCGGCCCTCCATCCCCATACTGTGTCCATCCGTCCTTCTCTACACAGTACCCCTTCCATCCCTCCCCATATTTCATCCATCCATTCAGCCCTCCAATGAATCAGTCTCTCCCTCCATCCAATGAACCCATCCACCCCTCCCTCCCTCCCTCCATCCCCATACCCCATCCACCCACCCGCCTCCCTCCATCCCCACCACCCACCTGAAAATTCAACCCACTCCACCCCAGGTCTTTCCCTGCCCTCCCCACTCTCCTCCAGTTCCCCCTTCCCTGGCCCGAAATAGCCACAACCTCACCATTAACAGCAGGCAACATCCTGCCAAAAAGAAATAAATAAGCCACTCTGAAATTTCCCCCTTCCCACAATCTCCCATGGCCCAATCAAGTCTCGATCACTGGGTAATTGCTATAAGCCAAGTCTTCCCCTGCACTGCCTCCTTTCCCACAATTCCCTGCTTCCAGGAGCAGCAACGCGTGACCGCAATATGGCAACATCCAACCAAAAAAGCCCCACCACAACACTTCTTCCTCCCCACAATCCCTCACTTCTCGGCTGAGTATTGACCACAAAATCATCCCTTGGTTCGCTAATGTATTCCCTGGTCTCCCAGAACCCTCTGAGGGCAAATAGACAAGACTGCAACCTTAATTAAAGGCAACGTTGAGCCAAAAAACACCCTTCACACAACCCCCAGTTCCAAGTTGAATGTTAATGACCAGGAAATTAAGGTTCAAGATGCACCCACTTCTGGGTTGGGGCATGTTGGGGTGAAGCGGGGATGCAGCCACCTCTGGGGTGTGCGGTGTAGGGGGCTGGCAATCCAGGGACCCCTTCCTTTGGCTCTGAGATGTGGCCACCCCTGGAGTGGGGCAGAGTGAGTGCTGGGTATCCACGGGTCCCTCACTCAACCTCTAGCATGCGACCACCTCTGGGCATGGGGGCATGTTGGGAACTGGCAATCCAAGGACTCCTATGCTGAGCTATGAGATGTGGCCACTTCTGGGGTAAGGCATGTTGGGAGCTGGAGGTCTGGGGACCCCCTTGCCTGCCTCTGAGATGTGGCTACCCCTGGGGTAGGCAGAGTAGGGGGTTCACGATCCAGGGGCCCCTATGGTCGGTTCTGCAATGCAGGCACCTTTGGGGTGAGGCATGTTGGGAGCTGGTGATCCAGGGACTGCTCACACAAGCTCTAAGATGCGGCCACCTCTGGGGTGGGGCGTATTGGGAGCTGGAGATCTGAGGACCCCTCACTCAAGCTCTAAGATGCAACCACCTCTGGGGTGGGCAGCAGAGGGGATTGGCAATCCAGAGACCCTTATTTTCGGCTCTGAGATGCAGCCCTCTGGGATGGGGCACATTGGATGCTGGGTATCCAAGGTGGGCAGTGTCGGGGGCTGGGTATCCAGGGACCTCTCACTCAAGCTCTGAGATGTGGCCACCTCTGGGGTGGGCAGTGCTGGGGGTAATGATCCAGGGACTCCTTGATTTGGCTCTGAGATGCGGCCACCTCTGGGGCAGACCACATCAGGAGCTGGAGATCCAGGGTGCTCCTTGCCTGCCTCCGAGATGTGGCCACTTCTGGGATGAGGAACATCAGGAGCTGGATATCCAGGACCCCCTCACTCCAGCTCTGAAATGCACCCAACTCTGGGGCAGAGCACATCGGGAGCTGGAGATCCGGGGAGCCCTCGCTCGAGCTCGGCAATGTGACTACCTCTGGGGTGTGCCTCTTTTGGGGAAATCTCTAACGAGGGGAAAGAAAAACAGGCGCATACCAGGTAACCGAGCACCACGGGGACCTGCGCCAGACATAGGCCAAGGCCAGACGGAGCAGGCGGGGCAGACGGGGCTGTTCTCGGCCAAGGCCATGACTCACCCGTCACAGATCCTGTGGGAAACACAGGGGGCTCCAGTCACCACGAGGGCCGAGGCCAAGTTGGCAAGCCCAGGGCCAGAGCCCTCAGCTGCCTGGGCCCC